TTTTTGTTTTTTTGGGTTTTTTTTTTTTTTTTTAAAAAAAACCCAAGCAGCTTTTTTCAAAAAAAAAAAAAAAAAAAAAGCTGGAGGTTGTTTGAAGGCCATCAGGCTGGTTCTGATGATCTCGACTCCTCTGCACAGCCGAGAAGGTAGAACCTCGCATGGGAAGGGCTTTGCTGACACCTGGGAAGGGACTTGAATGTCAATGGGATGCAAGTATTTAAATCAGTTAAATGCTTTGGGAGACCTGTCCCCTTTCCTTGGAGACTGCAGTTTAGATACTGAGCTATCCCTTTCCGTGCCTGCTCCAGAACTAATGGGGTTGTGTTGATTGCGGAGTAAGAAATCGAATTTTTCTTGTGCGAGTCTAACTTACCCGTAATGCCCGGGCCGAGCAGTGCAATTTGTGTTTCTGCCTTGTTTGGGCTCGTACTGTGTGTCTGGGTCCCAGCTCTGCCTCTGCAGGACGCATGAAATGCCATCCCTCCTGGGTTTGTCCAGCCGGGGAGTGAGCGGGGCCGGAGCCCCGGCTGTTTGTGAATTCTGGGCTGGCGGCGAGGAAGGAGGCAGGTTATTGTGCAGAGTAAATCTGTCACCACCCCGGCGCTGGCAGTCCTTGTAGCAGAGCTAGCTGCCCACAATCCCCACAGCATCCCAAATAGAAGAAATGAGGGAAAGAAAGAACGAGCCAGCTGAAGCTCAGGATCCTGTTTGTTGGGGCAGGTTCCCTCGAACCATCCCAGCCCGTCTCTGCCGCACCGTCTCCTGCCGTCCCCAGGTCCAGGCTGGTTTGGGGACGTTTTTTTCATTACAGGGATTCCTTAAAGCAAGAAGGAGCACCTAGCAGGGAGGTGGGTGACCTTTGGGATGCCGGGCTGGAGTTTTTCATATTTCAAATGAGGGCTAAGCATGCTGGCAGCAGTTCTGACTCGGATCTGAAGCTGCTGTGCCATCCCTGACGTCCTTGTGCCACTGCTGGCGACCTCCTCTGCCGTATCACAAGAGCAGAGCAATGATTAGAGTCAGGAGGCTTTTCCTCTACTGCTAATGAGCCCGTTTATTAGAGGTGTGGCAGGATTTTTGACAGAGAGAAGGGTCATTTTTTTATTTTTTTTTTAGGGGAAGATAAAATCTGAGGGCCCAGCAGCGGGGGATGTCACAGCATTTTGCAGGAGGAAAGTCCCAAATCCTCGCGGTGCGATATGAGTGATTCCCTGTGTTATCTCTGCATTTCCAACTGAATCTAGCGGTGGTTCCTAAACGCTTTGAATTGTAAATTACTGTGAAGAGGAAAAAATGTATTGATGCATGTCCCTGGACTTCTCTGAAGTTGCATCCCACCTTAACCCCTGGTTGCTTATGCCTTGGGGGGCAGCGGAGCGCAGGACTCTTCTCTCAGACAGGGTCTTGCAGTGCCCCTCTTCACAGCTTGTACTTTTAAAATTTGATCCAATGTTAAATAGCTGTCAGATGTCTCCCAAGAGTCCCGTGTTGTTTTGAGTGGTGCAGCAGTGATAAAACCTAGAATTTACGAAGTTTTGTCAATAGGTTTTGAAGGCGGGTGGTATTTTGTCTCCTTTTTACCACCACCAAGAGCAGGATCCCGGAGCAGCAACAGCTCTGAGTTAAGAGCAAACTGGGGATGGAGCAAGGAGATCTTCAGGCTGATCTGGTGCTTGGGACACCGGGCTTGTTTGCTGATCTGCAGCGCTTTGGAGGGCTTGGGGTCTTCTGGGTTAAAAGATCACCAGCTGAAAAAGAACCTTGTCACCTACTCTCCAGAAAGTTAGAGGTTGGTTCTGAAAAAATGAGGTTGTGAGTAGAGTGGCTTGAGGAACACAGGTGCCCCTTTGCTGTCCCCATGCAAGTGATGAAATCCTTCCAGTTCAGCGCTGGGGCAAGGTAGAACACAGCCAGTTCTTCACTCTGAGGGTGGTGAGAGCCTGGCCCAGGTTGCCCCGAGAAGCTGTGACTGCCCCATCCCTGGAGGGGTTCAAGGGCAGGTTGGAGGGGGCTTGGAGCAAGCTGGTGTGGTGGGAGGTGTCCCTGCCCAGGGCAGGGGGTGGCACTGGATGGTCTTTAAGGTCCCTTCCAACCCAAACCGCTCTATGATTTTGTGAACTCCGAGAAGAGTGTGCTGTTACCTGAGTGAGGAGCACATCAGGACCTTATTACAGCTTTAGCAATTAGCATCTCGTACTGTGTGCTCGGTGCTGCTCTGATTTTTACCTCTGTGTTACAGAACATTTGCTACAGGAACACTCGTGTTGCCAAAAAGTGATCAGGTTGTACTCTCTCTCTGTAGCAGTCCATGAACTCGAGTACGACGGCGCTGCCTACCGACCTGCCGAGCTTCAACCTCATCAGTGAGAGCCTCTCCTTTGACTTCAAGGACACCGACATGAAGAGGCTTTCCATGGAAATCGAGAAGGAGAAGTACGTGGCGTTATGTCCCCCAGGGCTGGGGTGGAGAATTGTGGAATCTAGGTTGGAAAGGGACTGTTTTAGTTCATGGAGTCCAACCATCAGCCTAACTCTGACAAAACCCACCCCTAACCCGTGTCTCTGAGCAGAAGAGCTGTGTTTGTGCCTCGCTCGCAGCAGGAGGAATCGCACCGGGGCTACCTATGAATTTTACCTTCCAGATGTGAGGCGAAGGTCTTTTGGGTTCGCATTTACAGGGCCATTGGTAGATGTGGAGATGTAGCTGCTGACTGACCGTTTCCCTGGTTGGGGGGACCTGCTGGACAATCAGCTTAAGCACCCTGAGCCCTGCACCAGCCAGTTCCTCTCCGTGTGGTTGACACTGCTCCTTCTTAGGCTTGAATTGTCCGTGTTGTAGGAAGAATTACCAGCAGCCCAGCCCCTGGTGCACTGAGCTCTTGCACTTGTGCGTTTGCAGAGCGCCCAAAGGTAGCAGTGGAGCAGCTATATCCTGATGTGGAACGTAAAGGAGTCTGTGCATTAGGGCTTTAACCCCTTTTTCTTGGAATCTGTGTCATGTTTATATATAAAAAGTGTGCGCAAGCAAGTTTGGATGTGATTATGAGCTTTGATCTTGTGTTTTCCTGAGGGTGTTAAGTGCAGCCTTCAAAATTACAAATTTAGCCAAAATCAAAGCAGATCAGATTTTAATCTCAGTAGTAATAACGTGCTTTGTTCATTGATGGGGTGGTAGATCAAAGCCAGAAGGGCTCTGCCGTAGCGCTCCGGCCAAAACGTCCCGGGGCTGGAATGAAACGCCCCTGGATCCCAGAGGGTGGGTTATTTTGCCTCTGCTGAGTGCCCTCTCCCACGGATGAAATAACAAACCACTAATGCTAAAGGCAGAGGTTAAAAACTTTTCCTAAAGCCAGAAGGGAAAAGATAGAAGCTGAAAATAACAGGATAATTCCCGGTTCTGTCCCCAGGTTGCTAACTAGGTCATCCCACACTCCTCAGCAGGAAGAGCCTGGCTCTGCCAAACGCTGGGAGCAATAGCGGGCTTTTGCTGACTTCTCCGGGACTGTTCGCCTTCCTCGGGTGCTGAGATAAACCTTGCCACAGATTTTGGCAGCCTGGGAAGGTTCTCGTTAGTCTGCTGGTACTTTTGAGCCGGGTCTCGGTGTTTAATCACTGGTCCAAGGCTGGCACCGTGTGAGTTTTCTCCTCGGGGAAGGCAATCCTGAGAATGGCTGGGTCTGGGTATTTTTCTTTCTTTCTTTGAGAACTTTCTCTCTCCCAGGGATGCTGTGTGTCTAAAAGATACCTGATACTTTGGGGGCAGTGCTTGCTCCCACACGGTTTACAAGCTAAATCCCTCTAAAACGTGAGAATTCAGTACATCAGGGTCCTTTCTTCCTGGAAGAATTTGTGCCTTTGAGTTTGGGAGCTGGGTTTGAGAGAGAATAGAATAGGATTGGAATAGAGCAGGGCTGCTTAAAAGGGTGTCTCGTGGGCTGGAACTGTGGGATGGTGACCTGTGTCATGGTGCAGCTTCGCTCAGAAACGGGGGAGACCTACAAATACCAGCCAGCAGCTGATATATTTGGCTTTGCTTTTTTTATAGTAACATAACTTCTGAGTTTTGTTCTCGGGTCAGCTCTCCAGTTCCTCTTTTTAATAGCAAACAAATCACTGCTCGAATACTTTACTGTGTGCTGTAAACTAACGCTGTCAGGCACGCTAGAAATGATGAAGATAAGGGTTTTGCTGTTATAATTCCGTTACCGGCTGCTGCCGTATCGTGTCACCACGGGCCAGTACTAACCCAGGGCTCTATTTTGTGTGCGCTAGGGTAGAGTACATGGAGAAAAGCAAGCACCTGCAGGAGCAGCTGAACGAGCTGAAGACAGAAATCGAGGCGCTGAAGCTCAAGGAGAGAGAGACAGCTCTGGATATATTGCACAACGAGAACGCCAGCCGAGGCAACAGCAAGCACAACACTATTAAAAAGGTATCGGAGGGCTCCAGTTTGTATCTCGCCTGATGAAATCCTTTAAAACCAACCCTTCCGTTTGGTTTAGCTTTTGCACAAGTTGTTATAATAAAACTGTTTGATCTAGGCTTTTTTTCCCCAGCTGCTTAGCTTTGAACCGGGGCGCAGGGAGTTCCAGCTTCTGGTGGCTCCTGGTTGATATTTGCCACAGCCAAACCTTGCCTTTTCAGTGCTGGGTGAAGGGATGAGAAGGTCTGGAGGTTCCAGTGTCTTGCTGAACCTTAACAAAAGCTGTACAGAGATGCTGGTAGGAGGGATCTGCTGCCTTGGTCACCCCAGGAACAGGAAAAGCCCCAGCTGCCTATTGCAGCCATTCCCTGGAGGCACTGCCAGAACACAGCCTTGAGCTTGGTGGGTGAATAATAAGGGCAAAAATACTCCTGACTGGTTTTTAGTAGAAAAAGCCAAAAAACTCATCCTCTTATTTTTTAATCTGTTCTCAAGTAACCTGTAGCGCAGCTTCAAATACTAACAGCAGAACCTTTTGCTAGCAGGGTTTGTGTGGGGTGTCTGCTCCCTGTGCTGTGGACCCCGGAGCCGCTCAATAAAAAGGCAAAATCAACCACCCTCTGGGATCCAGGGGCGTTTCATTCCAGCCCCAGGAAGCTTTGGTGGTTGAGACGAGTAACTCAGCCAAAAAATTGGGGTGGTGGGGTCTGCTACCCCGGGAGTCACACCTGCAATGTCACAACAAACCCCCTTCTTTATTTTTACATCCAGTCCTTTTCCTTTTGCTTAGCAGCTCGGCTGTTTCCCCAGCTGGGCTCAGTGTAAGGAGGGGCTGGGGGCTGGTCTGTGGTGGGATGTAGTGGTCCATCCCGCTCGCCTGCAAAGGCTTTTCCCTGGCTGGCTTTATGTCCTTGTTAATGAAAAAAATTGGAAAATCTGTATGGCACGGGATGCAGGTTGTGGTAACAACTCCCAAGTTTTACAAACAAATCCTTATCTCTTTACTACTCCCCGCTGAGAGTTCTATCTGAAAGGATTTGAAAATATTCAGTTCACGCCGACTTTCCTGGCTGGGAGTTTATGATTGCTGAATTGGGGCAGGAAAATGAATCTGGCGGGTCTTACTTGCCGGTTTCCCCGTGCTAGCCCTGAGCTATTCGGGTTCTGTCCCTCCAGAGCAGAGAATATAAAAATCTTCACAGAACCCTTTTGTCACTGTAGAATCTGAAGCCATATCTGCTCCCAGTAGGCTTTGTCTCCGTGCTCAGAGTCCTCAGTTTAAACGGAAAATGCTAAATTTTCACTTCTGACAGAGAGGAGTTCATAGAGAGCTGATGGTCCCATTTGTCTCACTTAGAGAAGGTGGTGGGGCCGTCATTCCGATGGCTGTCAGGGCTCGTGGCTCTCATTGGGGCTGCAAAGTCCCTCCTCGTTGCTGTGAAGCTGGAGTTGTGTCCTGTCCCCCCCCATTCCTTCAGGAGGGGACCGAGGCCGCCCGGCTCCCGCGTCTCAGCCGGAGGAGCAAAGGTTTTTAAACACCAGCCTGTTAGCAGGGCACATCAGAATAAAATTACAGCCTGCTTTTGTTCCTGCCACCGGGAAGTCGGGAGGGCTTTTGTCTCGGCGGTTGTGAGGGAAGGGGAAAGGCAAGGCGCTGGCACCGGGATGGATGTTTAGCAGCACTTTATTAACACCAACCCTCTGCCCCACCTGGAAGCCCCTGAACCCTCCAGCGCTGGGGGCAAACTGTACAGATTGCACAAATGCCATTCCTCCTATCACAGAGGATTATTATTTTTTTTATTTTATTTTATTTTTTATTTTGTTCGTTTTATTTTGCCGGTTTAGCCTCAAGCCCAGGGCAGAAGACCTATCTGCATTTGAGACTTCAAAGTAGGTTATTCCAAGGTACTCTTGGCGTGGGTCGATGGGATCACCGGCTGTCACACTAACCCGTGCATGAGCTTGCCTGCCACACGCACCGCTCTCTCCATCTCCCATTGCTGCCCTACACCCCTACACCCCTACCCCACATCACCATGGGGTGTGGGGCTGGTGACACAGAGGAACAGCACCCTGCCTGTCCCCACATCACGGGCAGCCCCCCTGCCTGGCTCCCTCTCCCTCCTTCCCTCCCTGGCGTTCACAGCCTCTCTGCCTTCGTTTTTGTACTTGATCCTCCGCGCTGGGAAGCATCTTTCTTGGCAGAAGTTGAGTTGGCAGCATCAGTGGCGGGGGGGGGGGGGT